GATTTTAAACATTTTTTAAGTGTTTCTCGTATGGAGGGCATCCCATTGCAATGAATAGGCTGCCCTAAACGAGTTGCATAAAAGCGCAGGCGCGCGCTCCATCGCACCTGCGATCTGTGATCCCAGCCTCTTAGGGACTGTTGAAATGACATCAACACGGGAAAACGTCTGAGACTAGTGATTGGGTTTACAGGTCCTTTAGTGCCGGGCGCAGTAATTAAAGGGTCAATGCCACCCAGGCGGAGCGGTAGCCATTGACATTCCCCGCACACGGCAAGACGAAGCGCCACAAATAAGATGGCGCGGCGGCGTCACGAATCTCAACGGGCTCAGAGGGATCGACGGCGACAGGCGCAATTGAGTTAGAAGCCTAATCCCGTTAGCCTGTCCCTTTATCCGGGCTCACGTCATCCGGAATAATTGGAGAGAAGCTGTCCCCGTGCTGGGCACCCCGTCGCCGCTAATGGCAGGGATGGTGGGGGAGGGCCTTTTTATAGAATGCGGATTATTTGGGGACATTAATGGTGCTGCGATCTAGACAACGGCCTTGCCGAGGAGAACGTGCACCTTGGAGGAGAGGAGAAAACTAGAGAGGAGATCGAAATTCAGTCCATGGATTCTTTTTTTTTCTTTTTTCAATAAAGAGGAGAATTTGTTTCAGGCAGCGGAGGTGTAGATATCGGTCCATGTCAATGCCCAAGGCCCCAGGACATGTCCCAAAGATGCCTTTCCCCCCATTTGTGCCCCTACAGGCCACCAGGGCATGTCCCCAAAACACTCCTTTGTCCATTTGTGTGCCTGCAAGTCTTGAAGAATGCTCCAAAGATATCCTTTTCCCTATTTGTGCACCTGCCAACCCCAAAGCATGTCCCAAAGACAGCCCGCCCCCATTTGTCCCCCTGAAGACAGGGGGTCAAGTTCCAAAAAACACCCCGCGTTTGTGCTTCTACAGGCCCCAGGGCATGTCCCAAAGATGTTCTCCTACCATTTGTGCTTCTACGGGCCCCAGGGCATGTCCCAAAGATGTTCTCCTACCATTTGTGCTTCTACGGGCCCCAGGGCATGTCCCAAAGATCTTCTTCTATCATTTGTGCTTCTACAGGCCCCAGGGCATGTCCCAAAAATGTTGTTCTACCATTTGTGCTACTACAGGCCCCAGGGCATGCCCTAAAGATGTCCTTCTACCATTTGTGCTTCTACAGGCCCCAGGGCATGTCCCAATGATGTTCTCCTACCATTTGTGCTTCTACAGGCCCCAGGGCATGTCCCAAAGATGTTCTTCTACCATTTATGCACCTGTAGGCCCCAGAACATGTCCCAAAGATGTTCTTCTATCATTTGTGTTTCTACAGGCCCCAGGGCATGTCCCTAAAGATGTTCTTCTACCATTTGTGCACCTGTAGGCCCCAGAACATGTCCCAAAACACTTATTCCCCCCATTTTTGCACTTGAAAGCCCTGACATATGCTCCAAAGATGTCCCTTTTTGTTGTGCCCCTAGGGGCTCAAGGGCGTGCCCCAAAACACCATTTCTGTGCCCCATTAGGTCCTGAGGTATATCTCAAAAACCTCTCATTCTCTCATTTGTTCCCCTTTAGGCCTCATAGACCCATAGATGCCCACCCCACATTTGTGCCCCTACAGGTTCCAGGGCATGTCTCATTCCCACCTCCCGTATTTTTGTGCCACTTTAATCCCTGGGGCATGTCTTGAAGACACCCCTCTCATTTGTTCCTCTACAGGCCCAAAAACATGCCCCAAAGATGGCCTCCACAAATTTATGCCCCTACAGACCCCAGTGCATGTCCCAAAGACAAATCCTATTTGTGCCTTCTGCAGGCCCAAAGCATGTCCCAAAAACACCCCTCCCACATCTGTATGCCTGCAAGCCCTGAGGCATGTCTCATAGAATACCTCTTCCCCATTTGTGCCCTTCAGGTCCTGGGGCATGTCCCAAAGATATGCCCCCCATTTGTGCCAATACAGGCCCCAGCACAAGTCCGAAAGTTGCCCCTTCCCCCATCTATGCTAGCTCCGGGGCACGTCCCAAAGACATCTCTCCATTTTTGCCCCTACAGACCTCAGGGTTATGTTCCAAAGATACTTCATCCCACATTGTGACTCTGGAGGATCCAGGGTTGGTCACAAAAAAGCCTCTTCCTCTGTTTGTGCCCCTGCCAACCCCAAGGCATGTCCCAAAGACACCCCTACCCCATTTGTGCCCTTGTAGGTTAGGGGGAATGTTCCAAACCCCCCCCCCCATTTGTGCCCCTACAGGCCCCAGAGCATGTCCCAAAGATGCCATCCTCCAATTTTGCAACTACAGGCACCTTGGCATGTCCCAAAGAAGTCCTACAATTAGTGCCCATGCAGGTACCTGGGCGTGTCCCAAAGACACCCCCTTATTTGTGTCCCTACATGCTCTTAGGCATATCCACAAAATGCGCCTTCCCCCATTTTGTACCCCTACAGGCCCTGGGAGCATGTCCCAAAGACACCCACCCCCATTTGTGTCCTTGCAAGCCCAAAGATGCCCCTTCCCCTTTTGTGCTCCTACAGACCCCAGGGCAGGTCCCCAAAACATTTCTCCCCCATACATTTGCCTTTAAGCCCAAAGGTATACCCCAAAGATGCCCTCTTACCATTTGTGCCCCTACAGGACCTGGGCCATGTCCCAAAGACAACACCCATTTGGGCCCCTGCAAGCCAGAAACATGTCCCAAAGACACCCGTCCCCTATTTGTACCCCTGCAGGCCCCGTGGCATGTCTCAGAGATGCCCCTCTCCCCTTCATCAGAGTGCTAAGAAAGCACGTTAATAAAACCGAGAACTTTGTTTCTTTATCAATTAAAGATCTAATCTCAGTCACTAAAAATGACTTTTTCAGACTGCAGTATTCATTAAAATAACCCCTGGTGATCCTGCCATGACTGTCCTTGTCCAGGCACTTCCTGTTATAAGGTGACAACGCCCTGTCCCTTCCTCCCAATTGTGATCCTGCGTTGTCACCCTGTCATACGGACTTCCGATGGGGATTACAACTGACCCTTTCATCACACATTACACAGGCATGGTCCCAAAAGCAGCAATTTTATTTAAAAATGCAATTTTTTTAATGATACTTTAGTAAATACAATTCATTTAGGGAATACATCTCCCTTAGTTTTGGATGAGATGTGGAAGGATTGGTACCCCTGTGGGGTCTTTATTGCTGTCTGCTGGTGGTCTGGGATCAATTTGTCTCTAATACAAAAAGTGATAAGAAATCCAAAATTTTTAGTTGACACCGGAACAGGAAGAGAGGTGAGATCTTCCAATGGGGACACCTGTCACCTGGAACTGCCTAGAAAGAGGTTGCCCTCACTTTGGAAAGACTCCCTCTCACGTCCTGCTGTAATTACAGACTCTGGGCGGATACGTTTTTGAACCCTGAGACTTTTATTTGTATTTTCTATTTATTCATTGAGGGTGGAGAGGGCCATGTCAACTAGCCCTGTATAGACATTGGTGGGAGGGTGCCACCTACTGCCCACCTTGGTAATGAAAAATCTCAGCTTGCTCTGTGACTACAGAACTGGCTAGATAGGGTGAGTCTTTGCGGCTTAAAACCAGACAGGGGAGACCAGCGATCCCCTAAATGTAACCAAAATGGGTTTTTTTTTGGCCAGTAATGGGACATTTCCACCCACCTGAAGTGGCCCATCCCAACGCCACCTTTGGTTATGGGGCGACTGCTTACTGGTGACCTCCAATCACAATTATGAATAGGCAGCACAGTGGCTAAATGGTTAGCACTTCTGCCTGGCAGTACTAGGGTCATTGGTTGGAATCCCAACCACAGAACACCTGCCTGGAGTTTGTATATTCTCCCTGTGCCTGTGTGGGTTTCCTCTGGGTACTCCGGTTTCCTCCCACACTCCAAAGACATGCTGGTAGGTTAATTGGATCCTGAATAAATTGTCCCTAGTATGTGTATGTATGAATGTGAGTTAGGGACCTTAGATTGTACGCCCCTTGAGGGTTAGGGACCTTAGATTGTACGCCCCTTGAGGGTTGGGGACCTTAGATTGTACGCCCCTTGAGGGTTGGGGACCTTAGATTGTACGCCCCTTGAAGGTTAGGGACCTTAGATTGTACGCCCCTTGAGGGTTAGGGACCTTAGATTGTACGCCCCTTGAGGGTTAGGGACCTTAGATCGTACGCCCCTTGAGGGTTAGGGACCTTAGATTGTACGCCCCTTGAGGGTTAGGGACCTTAGATTGTACGCCCCTTGAGGGTTAGGGATCTTAGATCGTACGCCCCTTGAGGGTTAGGGACCTTAGATTCGTATGCCCCTTGAGGGTTAGGGACCTTAGATTGTATGCCCCTTGAGGGTTAGGGACCTTAGATTGTACGCCCCTTGAGGGTTAGGGACCTTAGATTGTACACCCCTTGAGGGTTAGGGACCTTAGATTGTACGCCCCTTGAGGGTTAGGGACTGATGTGAATGTAATATGTGTGTGTGTGTGTATATGTATATATATAAATTGGCAACGCTATATAAGTACCTGTAATAATATTGAATGCCTTGTTATTTTTTTGTTAGAATTTTTTTTTTTCGCTCCTAGATATTATACATTTTCTGAAAGCAGAGGCCCCGTACAATAGAATGGTGGCTGCTGCATTTTTTTCCCCTAGGTTGCACAATATTTGCACCACTGTTTTATAAATGAGTATTTTCTGGAAAACAGTCATTAAAATGAACATTAATGCGCACAAACACAACTGATTTTTGACAAAATGTAAAAGATGAGTTGCATCGAGTAACTAGATACCAAATATGTCAATCCTTTAGGATGGCTATAAAATGCAAAAAAAAAACCCCAAGAAATGATGGTACCCAAATTTGTCCATTTCATGATGTTGCTTTAAAAGTCTTTCCAGGTTATCAGTGCAGATTTAGCCTTCATTCACACTGATGCGGAACGGAATTTGCAGTGTTTTCAGTGCGAATTCCGCACTGCATCACAATCGCATGTGTATGTTAGCAACACCCCCACATCGGTCTGCAAAATGCGGTGCGATGTGCAAAATTGGATCGCATAGGTGCAGGGGCGGACTGACCATTTGGAAACTTCGGGCACTGCCCAAGGGCCCAGGGTCAGTAGGGGGCCCCATGAGATGCCCCTGGTACCTTTTTCATAGGCTTTTTTGAGTTTGGGCAAGGACACAGGGGCCCCATGATCCCCTATTGCCCGGGGGCCCCATGAGTTGTCAGTCCGCCCCTGCATAGGTGTAAATACCCATGCAATCTGATTCTAGTGCAGACCCAAAAAAGGGTCCTGCACCTTTTTGGCTCAGATGTGGTGCGATTAGAGCCATAGAAAATGTATGGCTGATCGCACCGCACACACAAATTGCATGTGATTTGTACAGGAATGCGGTGCGGTTCCTGTGCGAATCACATGGGATTACCCCCATCACTGCAGTGTGAACCTTAAATGAGGGCCCTAGATATACTTGTTCTCACTCCGACGATCACACTATACTTCACCTGTGTGGCACAATATTTGTAATCGGATGTGTGTGTAGGGCAACGGTATTTAAAAAAAAAATATGATATTTTATTTTTTTTTATGATAATTTCATTTTTTTAATGTTTTTTTTTTCACCTAAGCTAATAAGTCCCCCTAGACCTAGGTGATAGCATAGGCAGATGACAGGTCCTCTTTATGGAGACATCACAGATCTATTAGACCCCCTAACATCTTCCCTGCTCTCCATTTGCAGCTAGTACAAGCAGGGGCGGACTGACAACTCATGGGGCCCCCAGGCAATAGGGGATCATGAGGCCCCTCTGTCCTTGCCCAAACTCAAAAAAAGCCTTTAAAGGGTACCAGGGGCATCTCATGGGGCCCCCTACGGACCCCGGGCCCTCGGGCAGTGCCCGAGTGCTCGAATGGTCAGTCCGTCCCTGACTACAAGTACAATCAAGCAAATTTTAGAGTAGCTCTACAGGATCCCTTTTACGTAAAAGCCAGACATTGGCTGACAAAAACAAAAAAAAAGACCACGCTTGTTTTAACCCCTTTAATGCCAGGATGTTTAAAAAGGTACCTTGGAAGACAAGTGATTGAAGCAGAGATAATCTTATCAACAGATTTGAATTTTTTATGTTTTTTTTTTTTTTCTTTGTATGGTTTGTGAATATGTTCCTATTTGCCTATTACATAGGCAGGGGCTACTTCCTGCTCTGTAGTCTTGGATAGTGATTGTGCTTTGCCATTCTTCTCTCTAAGCTTCAAAAAGAAAAAAAAAAAAAAAAAAAAACGGCAACAAAAATCACCTTTAGAGCGTGACCTGGGTTCCGTGCACGTTTCCTGCACCTCATTCTCAAAACGCACTGGTCTTGCGATCTGCAGTGGGGGTCAGTGCAATGTTAACAACCCCAAATACGAGTCACAAACGCACTGGTTTTGCCCGCACCAGATCACATGGTACAAAAGTGCCATGAGATCCGATGGGCAGTGCGTTTCCAAAAGTAGTGCATGCACTACCTTTGGTGCGGTGGGATTTCAGCTCATTCAGAACGAATGGGCTGAAATCACACCACACAGAACGGCAATTGAATCGCGCAGGAATCCGCAGCGTGTTCCTGTGCGATTCCCGGTGTAGATCGGGGAGGCTGAGCCCTGGTTCACACTAGAATACGATGCTGGAAACTGAGCATGTTTCCTGAACCGCGTACAAAACACAATGCCCTTGCGATCTGCAGTTTGTGTCGATGCAATGTAAAAAAAAAAACCCCAAACTCGGGTCACAAGCATTTGCCTACCCTGGATCGCATGATATACAGTCATGGCCGAAATTGTTGGCACCCTTGATATTTTTCCTGAAAATCAAGTATTTCACACAAAAAAGGTATTGCATTAACACATGTTTTGCTATACACATGTTTATTCCCTTTGTATGTATTGGAACAAATATAAAACAGAGGCAGAAAAGCAAATATGACATAATGTCACACAAAACCCCAAAAATGGGCTGGACAAAAGTATTGGCACCCTTAACTTAATATTTGGTTGCACACCCTTTGGAAAACATAACTGAAATCAGTCGCTTCCTATAACCATCAATAAGCTTCTGACACCTCTCACCGGAATTTTGGACCACTCTTCCTTTGCAAACAGCTCCAGGTCTCTCTTATTGGAAGGACACCTTTTCCCAACAGCAATTTTAAGATCTCTCCACAGGTGTTCAATGGGATTTAGATCTGGGCTCATTGCTGGCCACTTCAGAACTCTCCAGCGCTTCTTTGCCATCCATTTCTGAGTGCTTTTTGACGTATGTTTGGGGTCATTGTCCTGCTGGAAGACCCAGGATCTTGGACGCAAACCCAGCTTTCTGACACTGGGCCCTACAGTGCGACCCAAAATCCTTTGGTAATCCTCAGATTTCATGATGCCTTTGCACACAGTCAAGGCACCCAGTGCCAGAGGCAGCAAAACAACCCCAAAACATCATTGAACCTCCACCATATTTTTACCGTAGGTACTGTGTTTTGTTCTTTGTAGGCCTCATTCCGTTTTCGGTAAACAGTAGAATGATGTGCTTTACCGAAAAGCTCTATCTTGGTCTCATCTGTCCACAAGACGTTTTCCCAGAAGGCTTTTGGCTTACTCAAGTACATTTTGGCAAACTGTAGTCTTGCTTTTTTATGTCTCTGTGTCAGCAGTGGGGTCCTCCTGGGTCTCCTGCCATAGCGTTTCATTTCATTTAAATGTCGACGGATAGTTCGCGCTGACACTGATGCTCCCTGAGCCTGCAGGACAGCTTGAATGTCTTTGGAACATGTTTGGGGCTGCTTATCCACCATCCGGACTATTCTGCGTTGCAATCTTTCATCAATTTTCCTCATCCGTCCACGACCAGGGAGATTAGCTACAGTGCCATGGGTTGCAAACTTCTTGATAATGTTGCGCACTGTGGACAAAGGCAAATCTAGTTCTCTGGAGATGGACTTGTAACCTTGAGATTGTTGATATTTTGCCACAATTTTGGTTCTCAGGTCCTCAGACAGTTCTCGTCTCCTCTTTCTGTTGTCATGCTTAGTGTGGCACAGACAGACACACAATGCAAAGGTTAAGTGAACGTCTCTCCTTTTTATCTGCTTTCAGGTGTGATTTCTATATTGCCCACACCTGTTACTTGCCCCAGGTGAGTTTACAGGAGCATCACATGCTTGTAACATTCTTATTTATCCGCAGTTGTGAAAGGGTGCCAATACTTTTGTCCAGCCCATTTTTGGAGGTTTGTGTGACATTATGTCGAATTTGCTTTCTTTCCTCCCTTTTTTTGTTTTGTCCCAATACACACAAAGGGAACATAAACATGTGTATAGCAAAACATGTGTTAATGCAATACGTTTCGTGAGAAATACATGATTTCCTGGAGAAATATCAAGGGTGCCAACAATTTCGGCCATGACTGTATGTGTTTTCGAAAAGTTGCACGTACACTGCTTTTGGTGTAATGCAGTTCGGGTTAAACCCATGCAAATGAATGGGCTTAAATTGCATTGCACTGAATGCATGTGAATTGCACAGGAATGTGCTGCACATTTCTGTGTCATTTATAGGCTATTCATAGTGTGAACCTAGGCACAGTGAGGGAAAAAACTGTAACAAAATCACTTTCAGTCTCGGTTGACACTGCTGCAGCCCCGAAGTCATGAGATTTCCAGTGAAACTTGCTTGCAACTTGATGTGACTTCAATGCGACTTCATGCGACCTTGATGTTTGTGTCATTGGCGACTCATAACAAAACAAACAGCGTGTGACACAGATTACTGAACTTACAAAACCCTCTGAAGTCGCAAAGACAATGTAATGACCTTCTTGCGACTTTTGCGATTTTAACATTGCAGTCAATGGCACTCATGTCGCGAGGAAGTTGCAGAAAAGTAGCACAGGTTTTTTTGTCAACATAACTTGGGTTGCAGCAACTAAGAACCCATTGAAAGGAATGTGTTTTAACTTGTCATGTGACTTTCTGTGTCGCGTATTGCAGCAAGTCGCATGAGAAGTCGCAAGCAGTGTGAATCACGGCTTTGGGAAATCTAATAATTTAGGAAAATAATAGCACGCTTGTTGAATAGATGTTGTTTTGTTTTAGCCGGAGATTTCTCCCAGTGTTTCGGCTCTTCCACCCCTCGACTGGCTTCATTCTGCCTTCAGAATCCCATTTCGGCTTAACCTGCCTCTGACCGCTGGTTGCTTTCCCGCTAATGATGCGTTTCACAAATAACCGCGGGGGCCTCCCGCTGCTCCCTCCAGCTTCGCCGTGTCAGAAAATGGCCGGTTTGGCCGCACGGCCCCCTTTTTTCAAAAGCGTAAAGTTGACTAAGAAAATCAAAACATATTAAAACCGCCGAGCTGAGCTGGAAAGCCGTGGATGAGCTTTCAAATGTTTGGTTTGGCCGGCGAGCGCTTTTTTGCGGATTGAAGACTGTGTTTAGCGTGACGCTGGAAATATAGGTTACGCGTCTTCCCTGCTGGCGTTCTGCGGATCGGAAGGAAGAGGAGGTGAATTATTTATTGGCGTGGGATCGGCTCAGCGCGTCCCTGTCAGCGGCAGAGTCTGAAGGCGAAGGGCTCGCAGAACCACGGTGTGATCTGCCGCCTTTCCGCATGGCTTGCTGGACATGGATGATGAGATGGGTTTGTTTGTTACACATGGCTTTAACATATCTGACATGAACCCCGCAGTGCCCGCAGTTCCCCCGAGTCCCCACCAGGCAGCGCTGCCAACTGAAGCTTAGATTTTGCCCCCCCCCCCCCCATCAACATGCTAATGATTTTTTTTTTTTCATTTTCATTACATACCTTACTTTATGCACAGCAACCTCACTACTGAATCTTTGTACTTCTCTAGGCAATGCAGGCAGATCATGGCTGGTGGGAGGGGCCTGGCAGGGTGCTGTACATAGCTTCCTGAAAACATTGCAGCACCCTGCCTCAGTACGCAGTTCAAGAGCCCTCCTGATGCAAGTAGTGGGCTGGCTCTTGGGAGGAGTTATGCAAATGATGTGTGACTGTGGTGGGACATTTGAGTGTAAGCTCCTCTCGTGCAAACTGATGTGAGTGGTTTAGTGCTCTTTGTACTATGCAGGGGCGGACTGACAACTCATGGGG